GCAGAGGCAAAAAGCAGCTGCAGATGGGCTCTACAGTTCTGTGCTGGTTTGCAGATTCCTCAGGAGTTGTGCTGGGTCGTCTGGCTTCCACCAAGAGCGCTCCTCTTCTCTCCGCAGATCACATCCAGGTGCTGTCTGTCTGTCTGTGGTAGATTCCAGAGCAAGGAGGCCTCTCCATGCCATCTCTGCACATTGATTTCAGCCTGTGGCACCCCCATTGGGACACACGGATGCTCCAGGAAACAGCTGTGAACCCTGGGGCTGGAATGAAGATGCCAAAAACAATGCAGAAAAAAACCCAGAGGTAAGTCTCAGTTTGTGCAGGAAACTCTCAGGCAACACACCTGCTAAGGTGAAGCTGTTTTTTGCCTGCAACCTAGCCCTAATTCCAGGAATCAAGCATACCCCACACACCACCAGCTGGGACCATGTGGTGAGGTTTGTTTTGGATGCTACTCTCCAGCACCCCTTTCGGTGCAGCCAGTGTGCTTCCCATGGATGCTCGCTGCTGTCCTGAGCCCTTTATAACCTCAGTAGCCCCTGCTATAGGGCAGCATACTTGAGAACTAAAATGGCATGGTTTTGTAGGAGGGAGCAGGGGCTTTGTACCAGGGAGCTGCAGAGCATCCTGGGCACAGCATGGCAAGATGGGAACATCCACTGCGTATCTGTGTTGGCTCTACAGAACTGCACAGGGGCACAGCATCTCTAGCAAGAAAACCTCTGCAACTCATTCTGCTGCCTTATCTTTTTAAAACATGACACGGTCCAGCTCATTGTGGCCGTGGGACACAGCAGCTGTGACAGCATCCCAGTGCTGCGGCATCCCGCTGCCCGCCTCTCCGAGGGGCCAGGGCTGATGCAGAGCAAGGCAGCAGCTTGGCGCTGCAGTGGGAAGCGGAGGTGTGTGGAGTGCTGTAGGTGTGCTGGCTGTGCCCCGTCGCTGTGGGGTAGAGCTGGTGCTGCAGGGAGCCCTTGTGGGATGGTGGTGGTGCGTGGGGTTGGAGGGCTGTGCAAGCTGGTTATCGCAGGGCTGGGGAAAGCAGGAGTAATGGAGGTAATGGAGAGAGGTGGCTTTGGTGGGGCTGCGTGATTTTCAGGTGCTCCAGAGGGTTGCTGGAGTTGATCAGGAAATGCAGCATCTCTCCCTTGTAAATGTTTTGGGCTGAGGCACTGGGGTGAGTGGAATGGCACAGCTGGTCTGGGAGCGATGGCTTTGGGTTCAGCATCACCGCTGTGCTTTCGTCATAGGCAAAGGAGTGGTCACCTCCCAGATCCAAACTGTAGGAAACATGAGACTCACCCATGGGGTGAATGGGGTTGATTGAATGGGGTTAATTGAAGAAAAGCAACAGAGAAGTGAAGATTACCCTTGTGCAGCCCAGTAAATATGCAGTATGGCCTCAGAGTGGTCAGCGGGGTCCCAGGGGAACAAGTGGGATCTGGGATCTACTTCACCCTGCCCACCTTTCCAGCCTCTCAAGGTCCCTCTGCATGGCAGCCCTTCCTTCAACTGTGTCGACCTCACCGCTCAGCTTGGTGTCATCAGCAAACTTGCTGAGGATGCACTCGATTCCTACATCGCTGTCACTGATGAAGATGTTGAAGAGCACCGGTCCCAACACAGAGCCCTGGGGGACGCCTCTTGTTACCAGCCTACACCTGGACACAGAGCCATTCATGACCACCCTCTGTCTGCGGCCTTTCAACCGGTTTCTTATCCGTTCAGTGGTCCATCCATCAAATCCACATCCCTCCAATTTGGAGATGAGGATGTGGTGGGGGACCGTGTCAAAGGCCTTGCTCAAGTCCAGGTAAATGACATCGGTCGCATTCCCCTTATCCACTGATGCCGTCACTCCATCATAGAAGGCCACCAGATTGGTCAAGCATGACCTTCCTCTGGAGAAGCCATGCTGACTGTCACAGATGACATGCCCATCCCTCATGTGGCTGAGCATGTCATCCAGGAGGATCTGTTCCATGGATGTGGCTTTTTATCCCAGAAATCCCTGTTTTTCCCCTTAAATGTGAAGTTTTCTCCCAGAAATCCCTGTTTTTCCCCTTCAATCTGGGTTTTTCTCCCCGAAATCCCTGTTTTTCCCCTTCAGTCTGGCTTTTTTCCCATGACAGTGTCCCTGCTCCAGTGCCACCCTTACTGTGACAGACTTCTGCCATCCGTCCCATCTCAACTCTCTCTCTGCCCTTCTTTCTTGCCGCCCCCCTCCAGACACCGAAGGCCGGAAACAGAACACGGCAGCACACACGTGTGCGTGTGCATGAACACGGCGTGTGCACCGAGGGCTCTGCACAAGGCTGTGTGGCTTTGCACACCTTTGCCCGTGCGTTCGGATGGTTGCGCACAGGTGTGCCAGGAGGTGCAGGCAGTGTGTGAGTGCACAGGGTTGTGTGAGTGCGCCAGGAAGTCGTTGGAGCAGCAGCTCCTGGCTGCCGCTGCACAAATCGGGCCGTGCGCTCTGTGTCCATCTCTACTGGTGATGTTTTTATTGACCACAAGCAAAGTTGAGTTGGAGTTGGGCGGCACTCGCAGCGCTGCCCTGTAACGCCGCGCGCCGCAGCGCTGCCGGCTGATGCTGCTCCTCTCAGTCCCTCAGCTGCAGCTGCTGCATCATCTCCACCAGGCTGTTCATTGTGGAGCACTGGAAAGAAACAGAGTGAGTGTAGAAACAATCTGGGGAGCTCTCCTTCAGAAAGGCTGATCAGGACACTTGCAGAACGGCCCCATGCAGCACAGCACGTTCCTGCCGTTCAGGTCGCTGGCGTTACTTCCCACAGCAGCTGCCTATGCTAACATTCATGCTCTGCTGGGGGAACGAGGTTTCCAAGGTCGCAGTGCCCGACACGGCAAGGCTCCTTATGGCAGCAAAACCCTCCGGCCGTTACCAACAGCGTCCTTCTGAAGGCAGAGGAAGGCACCCAAGCTCGCCTGGGCAGCTCTCGCTGACAGCGTGACTTCCTCAGACACACAGCTGGGTGTTTTTCTGTGACATCACTGCCCTCAGGACCTTACAGCATCTTTCACGGCTGTCAGACAGAGGCACTGAAGGCAACAAGAGCCGTGTCTGTGCTCGCCAAGGACTCACCTCTGTATGTGCAGCTGCAGCTCTGAGGGAAGCCTTCTTCAATTCCCTTCTCCTCTCTTTCTGTCGTCGTCTTCTTGCTATAAAGCAAGAATAACAATGAATTCATTCTGTCAGCAGCAGAACTGTGTAAACATGGGTACCACAAAAGCAGAAGGCAGAAAAAAGACAGGGGAAATTTGAGCAGGAAGCCTCTCAGTGAAAGACATTTCCAGGGGGACAAACAGAAGACCACCATGCAGTTAAAGAGACGGGGTTACATACTGTGGCACCTCAGTGCCTTTGGACTTCTTAGAGGCTCCAACTCTTTTCCCCTCTGCAGAGAAGGAGAAAGCAAAGCAAACCCTCTGCAGCCTCGGTGTGCTTGATCAGGGCAGCAGCTGCCCTGCAGGGCGGTAGCACAGCACCTGCTTACCTCGCAGCTTGGAGCTCCGTGCTGCAGCAGGCCCAGGCTGTGCTGCTGGAGCCGGCACGCTGCCTCCGCTCTGACGTCTGGCTCTTTTGCAGGCAGGCAGCAGCGCTGATGTTTGCTGCTCTTCCTCCAGGCCCTTGCGTTTACCTGCAGCCAGGGACTTGGAGACAGAGCGGGGGCACACGGCAGGGGCAGGTCTTCCCCCTGAGCTGGGACCTGCTGATGTAGGAAGCCCCCCAGCCTGAAGACAAGCTCTCCCAGAAAGCCCTTCCTGCACCGCTTTCGGGTCGATCTTTCCGTTGGACTCAGCACCTCTGTCTGTTACAATCAAGAAAAGAGAAGCAAGGAGATACAACGAGAGTCCAGTGATACTTTCAGTCTGCACAATGGGCCTCGATACTAGGAAACCTGATCTCGAGGGTACACAGTAAGGAATCTTAGCATCTTGGCTGAACGTTGCGTTGAGACTACAAAACGGGACAGGAAGGTAATAGTAGATCCCAGGGATTAATACCTCAGGTAAAACACACAACAGCGTCAGTCCCAGAAAGAATAGACAGAGAGCCTAGCTAGAAAGACAGTGCACCAAACCCAGGTGCCTGCTGTGTGTCCATACCTCTCTTGGGTGCTGTGCCACACTCGGTGCTTCTGCCTTGCCTTTCTGCAAGGCTGCGCTTTGCTGGAAGGCTGCTTGCATCAGCATCTGACAGAAAGGAAACAGAGACATGAAGAGCATCTCTTTGCAGGAACGTTTTAGCACAGCCAACCAAACTTCTGGTCTTCCAGTGTAGCTTCTTCAATTTCCTTTCCGCTGCTCCAGCCTTGTGCCACTTCTGCAGTCAGCACAGAACTGCAGTGCCCTTTCCTCCCTCCTCCATCACACTCAGCCCTGCGTGCAGCCCTGCTTAGAGGCAGCACCCACAGCACAGCTCACAGGAGCTTCTTACCTGGGGAGGCTTTCCGTTTCCCCCCGTGCCCAGCACCATCCCACGGACGCGCAGGCTCCGTCCCTGCAACGACAGATCCAGTGTGATTGCACAGACCCCAGGAGCAGCGCTGTCCTGTCAGCCCACACCCACCCCAAAACCAGAAGACGCTGTTCTACAGCCAGAGCAGAAACTGGTGTTCAAACTGCAGCGTGCTGACACAAAGCATTATGCTCTCATTCCTGCCAGATGGCAGCAGAGGAACCCCGGACTGCCTGACAGCTCTGCATTCTGCAGAGCAGAGCTGCATCAGCAAACAAAACGCTACCGGGTGCAAACGTGGAGACACGGATCTCTTGTCCCTAGAGGGAATGCACTCAGCTCTGAGCAGCACCACTTGTACACAGACTGGTGTCTCGCTGCTGCCATCAGCTGCTGCTGTCGGCCTTTCTAATGCTTCCACCGTGGTTTCTGGACATCCCTACAGCACTGCAGCCGCTCAGAAGTGATACCTAGCAGGCATTCCTCCATCCTTCATGACAGAGGACTGCAGAAACTCACTTTTGCGTGGCAGTGAGGACGGCCCGTGCCCATCGCGTCCCTCTGTGCGCTGCCAGGCGCCGTGGGATCTCTGGCAGCCTGCTGGCTGCTGCTCCCAAAGGCGGGGAACCGCGCCGCGCTGCTTCTGAGGAGAGAAAGAAGAAACGTTGGAGGGAACGGGCAGCCGAGGTTTGCACAGAGCTTCCAGGTCGTGCCAGAGATGGGATAGCAGAGTGCTGAGATGTTCTTTACCACTGAGGGAAAACACAGCCTGAGCCATGCCCATGTTATTAGCCCAGGCTGTCAGCGAGCGCAGAACCCAACCAGTTCCTGAGGTCCCAAAGGACCAGCAGGGCTCCCTCCGCTCCACCCCTTCCCCTGGAAAACAAAAACAAAGGAAGAAACACCCAGCAAAAGACACCCAGCCCTACCTTTGCTCTCACAGAGCGGGAATTGCAGCCGCGCTCGTCTCCATGCTGAGACATGACGGCTGAAGTCTCAGAGGAAGCCCAAGCTCAGATGGTTCTCTGCACAGGAACTTCTCCCGCTCCTGGAAAGAGCTGGCTTCACTCTTCCTCGATGCCCAAAGTCTCCTTTTGGACAGGAACCCTGCAGAAAGCATCCACCAGTGAAAAATCATGAGGAAGAAGCATCTTCCCAGCTTTCTTCTGCCGCGCCATGGAGTCTCTTGAGGAGGGCAACGCCTGGAAGGCAGCTGGCTGCGAGAGCTGCCTGCCACCAGGTCCAGTTTGGGTCTGACTGCCACGGCTTGTGTCAGCAAGTGCCCTTCTCCATCTCCTCCACAGCTCTGCACCCAGCCACCCGTGGGGCAGGGGGCACGAGCTGTGCTCTGAGAAGCTTGTGCTCTCCTTGCTTTTCAATGTCCGACATGAAGGTGGGGGATCAGCAGTGAATTTCCAGGGGAGGAATGTCATCTCATCATCCTCACAGAAACGTGGGATGGAATCTCAACAAGAACCATTTCCCCTGGAAACAGCCGTGCTGAGGGGCACCGCTGGAGCTGGGAACTCCTCCCCAGCCCAGCTTTTCTGCTGAGACACCTTCCGGCCCCCAGCCAGCACCAAACCCAGCTCACCTGGTCACTGCCCAGCCGGATGACCTGGTCACTGTGCCCAGCTGACGCACGCGCCGCAGCGCTGCTCCCAGTGGGCTCTCACAGAAGATCTCTCCTGAAAAGCACAGAGCTCAGTCTTGGTTTGCAGCACGCTCACCAGACCACCAGCTCTGCTCCAGCTGGGGCACAAACGCTCCCAGCCAGGCAACCACTGTGAGCTCAGCAAGTGCCTGCATCACCGCTGTGCTTTCATCATAGGCAAAGGAGTGGTCACCTCCCAGATCCAAACTGTAGGAAACACGAGACTCACCCAATGTGCTGAATGGGGTTGATTGAATGGGGGTTAATTGAGTAAAGCAACAGAGAAGTGAAGATGACCCCTGTGCAGCCCAATAAAAACCAGTATGGCCTCAGAGTGGTCAGCGGGGTCCCAGAGGAACAAGTGGGATCTGGGAGGAGCGCACAGCAGTCCGGTCCATAAAGCTGCAGCGTGGCCAAGTGAAAACCAGTAAGGAGCAGCACGGCCTCAGAGCGGTCCGTGGAGCCCTATAGGAATCAGCAGAAAGCAACAGGAAGGCCCATCTGTGCCCAGGGCCGGTGCCGGCCTCTGCCTCCGGCTTTGGGCTCTCGGCCTGGTGCCGGCCTCTCGGGCTGTGCGTCAGGCCGAGGCCTGGTGCCGGCCTTTCAGGACTGGCTTTAGGCTCCACGGCCGCTGCCAGCCCGCCCGGCTGTAGGTGTGGCTGTCAGCCCCGGCTCTGGCGCTGCCCCAGTGGCTGTAACCGCGGCATTATGGCCCAGGGCTGGTGCTGGCTCTCTGGCTGGAGCTTCAGACTTCAGGGCCGGCTCTCAGGCTGTGGCTTCGGGCCCAAAGCTGGTGCCGGCTTCTCGCGTTGGGGCTCCAGGTTTAGGCCCGGGGCCAGGGCAGCCTCTCTGGCTGGGCTTCAACCCAGGGTCGGTGCTGGCCGCTCAGGCTGTGCCTTCAGGTCCCTTGGCCGGTGCCAGTCTCTCTGGCTGTGTGTTTAGGCCCCAGGGCCACTCCCGGCTTCTCTGGCAGCATCTTTAGGCCCAGGCCGTGTGCCAGCCTCTCTGACTGGGGCTGTGGCTGTGAGCCCCTGGGCTGGATGCAGCCTTTTGGGCTCTGGCCCAAAGTCACTAGGCCTGGTACCAAATTGTAAGAAAACATGAGGGTCGCCCAATGGCGTTATCTGAAGTATCAAAACAGAGAAATTAAGATGACTCCTGTGTAACCAGCCTGGGTCATGCTCTCGCTCAGGCACCGCATGATCAGACCCAGGAGATGTTGCCCCCAGGATCCCCCAGACTGGAGGCTGGGAGGATTTGGGCTCCCAAGCAATCAGCCAGCATTCGGATGAGTCAGCGCTCTGGTTTTTGTGGGGACAGACGAGCCCACCTTGGAAAGCCATCTGGGCAAAGGCAGAACAGCTTTGTTGTTGGGCCGCAGCACTCCGTGGCCAGGCGCTGCTCAAACGCTGGGCCTGCATTTCCTCCTGGGCATCCACGCGTGCTCTGAGTCTGCTGCAGCTTCCTGCAGGGTTTGTGGCTTCCTGCTGAGGAGCTCCTCGTGTTCTTCTGCAACTGCCCCCCAGCATCACCGCTGCCTCCTCTGGTGCTGTGCCGGGAGATGCGTCAGCGTCCATCAGCCTGCGCTTCCTTCCTCCCAGCAGCAGCTGCTCCTGCACTGCCCTTCATTCACACTGGATGCCGTCCGCTTCCAGCGCCAGCTGACCTGCGACACAGAGAAAGGAAATGTGGGATCAGACCAAATGCAGAAGCCCGAGGCTGTGCCACCACCACGTACTGCAGCCTTGGGAAGCCAGCTGCCACTGCAACCTTGGTCAGAATTAAAGCAGGCTCCGTAAATTAAGTGTGACTTCTGAACTGAAGGAATTGCCACAGTCAGAAATAAATGCTGAAATCGCTTACTGAACTGTAGGTGGTTACCTCTGAATTCTTTTGCTTTGGGGAAAATATGGACTGGGAATTGAAGGGTGCGAGAAAAACGAGGAGCAGTTGGCAACTCAGGCAAACTGAGCAGTGCAGGGAAGATTGCTGCATTTCTTCCTCTCCTGGCCCAGAAATGAATTTTCCTACCTTAAAAGAGGTACTTAAAAGAGGTACCTTAAAAGAGAAAAGAGAAGAAGAGCCTGACACAGTAGACACATTACAGTCCCACATCACGGGTAGAAGCTGGAGAGCTCTCGTGGCACAAAGCTCAGGGCTGCAGAAATTGAGGGTGCTCTAAGCTTTAAAACCAGGTGAAAGACAAGGTGGAACGCGAAACGTCGGCACTTCCTGCAGAGCTCATCACACAGCTGCAGGCACCGCCTGAGGGGTAACAGATCAGAAAGGAAAACCTGACTATGGGAACGCAGGGACCAGCTGCTCTCTTCTTCTGGGCCTTTGTTCACAGTGAGGATTTCCCTCAAGAGCGCCGCTTTCCGCTCAGGCTGCTGCTGTCTCCAGCTGTTGGTCGCTTCCACTGCTGGACGCTGTGCCCACAGCTCATTCTGCTTTGGGCAAAGCCTGCTGGGTGAGCTCCAAACCGAGGTCCCAGCCACGCTAATCCAGCTGGTTTGTCTGGAAGGGCTCAGAGGCCACGCATGGGATCCTTTCTGCTGCTGGTTCTCTCCGGGCAAGAACCTCCGCTCTCAGAGCAGCAGCCAAGAGCCAGAAGGCAGACAAAGCTTCCAATCCCCATGGATGTGGCTGTCTGCAAAGACAACAGCTGCCTGCTCTTCAGCAGGGTGACGCTCTCCCAGCAAAGCCCTCACCCAGCAGATGCCTTTCCTTACACTCAGAACTGCCTCACATTTGTGCAGCCCTTGGCATTGCATTTCCAATCCAAGCTCACATAGATCTCAACCATTCCTTCTGTGTCAGTCTACTTGGATCCCCAGTTAGGGCTGCAGCTCAAGAGGTCAACACAGCAGGAGCAGCACAGCACGCAACTGGAAAACACATCTCAAGGCTGAGAAGAGCCAACGTCTGACCTTGGGCACAACTCACCAAGATCTGGGCCTTGCAAACTTGGCCGATCTGAGCATGCGGGAGGGGCTGGCAGTCAGACCAGCAGTGTCCATTTCCATTGCAGCTCCGTGTGGAGAAGAACGCCAGAATGTAACAGGTGTGGATGAGTTCATTCACAAGCTCACAAGGAGTTTGTTCTTCATTCAAAAAAGCATGCATTCCAAGTCAAAAAGGGAACAGCAGGAGTTGCTCTCAATGGCAGACATTCCTATTCCCACACCTCATCCTCCTACCACAGCTTTCCTTGCCTCACCCCTCGCCCCAGCTCCTGGAAAATGCCCGCAGACTGAAAGTCAGCTCTCAAATCCATAGACTCCTTTCCCATTGCTCCATTAAAAGAAGACTTCAGACTTGTTTCATGCACTCCAACTGACCGAGCAGTGGTACCACAATCACTCATGACACACGGAGGCCACTCTCAAAAGCTTCTAACAACTCCTGCCCTGAGACCAACATCTCTACAGCCATCCTTCTCATGTGAGTCCAGGAAACAAATCCACAGCACAGCCTTTCTGAACTACTATCGTATCAGTAGCATTTCTGGTGGTAGAAAGGCACAGCAAATAGTCCATCAGAGACATTCTGGCACATCTCCCATGAAAAACAGCATTCTTCAAACACCTGTGTTTCTAAAGATGAAAAACATCCAGTAAGCAGCAGAGAGGCTCTGTTTTTCAATCTTTCCCAAGGGAGAAGTGTTCATACCCACCTTTCCTGACCACACAAACACTGCCCCAGCTGTCAGAGCCCTTCTGCCACAGCACAAGCAGACTGCACGCACATTGAAGAGCACGCACAGCCCCTCCTGAGGTCCTGGAGCCCACAGCTCCCCTTCAGAGCTCCGCAGGTTACCGGTGCTTCACACTGATGCAGCCTCACTCAAGCCTCATAGGTGTCCAAGAAGGCCTGCAGAAGGCAAGAGGTGGCAGCCAGAGGACAGGACATCCTTTGTTCACAGTGAGGATTTCCCTCAAGAGCGCCGCTTTCCGCTCAGGCTGCTGCTGGGTGAGATTTCAAAGAAAACCAGCATGTTTGATGGAATGATTCCACTTCCAAGCTGTGCCAGTCACTTCAGTCACCTGTTGTGCAACACCAGAAATAAAACAAAACCCCAACTGCAGGGCAAAATCGGGATTAAGTGAAAATTGAAGGGGTTTTGGAGCCATTTCAACATTTTTCCCTTGATTTTTCCAGCTCAGGGAATGAGAAGAAGCTCGAAAGGAGCTAGAAGCCTCTCTGAATCAGCTAGAAGAGGTGCAGTAACGTAGGGATGCTGATGGCCTGAAGTGCCATTTGCCTTGGTGTTTGTTATCTGGAGCCACCGTGCATTTGCCAGCTTTAGAGCTTCTCTCTTTAAAGCAC